TATTGTCATTCAAGTAGTTTGATAACTGGAGATTCTTTAATTTACACATGATCATACCTATGTAAACTAAAAATACAAGACATAGAAATTATATATTTTAAAAATGCCGCCAAAGCACAAGGTCTCAGAAAATTATTCTTATCTGCATATGTATCATCTAAGAACATAGTGTGTTATTAAAATAAACAGTGTAATTTTAGAGGATGACATTAATTTCAAACTTATTGAATTTGGTTTTGTTATTTGCAAGTTTTCAGAGAATAATTTTTCCATCAGAAACACTTCCATTAGTATTCACTCAATATTCATTAATCATTAACTTAACCTATTGAGCTCATTTATGAATAGCTGCAACATTTGAAAAAGGCTTCAGTGTTTCATTTAACATTAGCTGCTTCAAATAAGAGGATTCTTTCACAGCTGAAAGTGATTTTCTACTTCGAAATATTAATTTCTACACACTTCAAAACCTGTTACAGAAGGAACTGAAATCAAAACCAGGACTTTCAGAGCAAGCCAAATGAAATGCTTTGATTGCCCAATGTATTTTCTTTTCTGATCACTGTCAGCAATAATCTTGAGACTTTTCTCATCCTGATTTGAAATGGGCAAGAAAGAACACAGACTCTCCCATCTTGTTTCTTTCTTTTTCTATCCATTTCTACTACATGAAGAAATAGCTCATGTGGCCCTAACTTCTGAAGTAGTTCCTTCTTAAAGGTAAAGTTGTGGTATATTCAGATAATCATTTTTACCTCTATCAGGGCAATATGTTCCAGTTCACACAAGAAGAAAATTCATTTGCTGTTAGAAAATTGAGCCTGATCTCTACAAACCATTGGTTCTCTAAACTCTCCAGATCTGTAATTCACTATGACACCCTTTTTAATCAATCAGTTTGCTGGTTTCAGTGGATGACTATCTTTGTGGCATTGTGTATACTTTTGATAAACCAACTCAAACCACAAAAAAGTACATGTTAATTGCAATGAAATTTGGATCTTCCAAAAAAACTCGATATTCATTCAGGCATAGAAGTTAATCAGTATTATTTCACAGTACTTTTACAAAACATTTATATTCACAACTTTTGTAATTGTTGCCTTTCCCTATATCTTTAGTATGTAATCATCATTTGCTTTAGTTGATGCAGAAATTCAAGTGGTGTGCAAAATATATTCTTCAGCGGAAGGCTTTTTTTCAGATACCTTATCCACTTCATTATGCGTCTAGCAATTATCAAAGGGGTTTAAATTGTGTTTCAAATAATGTTAGTTTTACTTGGTGTTAGCTTAACATGACATGCAAAAGTACACATACTTTGAATTTCTTGCACCTGCAGTGCTATCAACTGATATGCTTTAAAATATCTTGATCTGATTTCTTTACACATATTTAATTTATTGTAATATTGTTTACAAATTTTCATAGAAATTTCAATATTAGTCATAAGTCATATTATGTTACTAAGTCTAATAAGCATACACATTTCATATAAAGTAATTTAAAAAAATAGTAGAAATATGTAAATAAAATACCTCATGCTGACTAGGACATCTCCATCCCGAAATATAAAAAGAAGGATATTTTCTTGTGTGACATCATGGAAGTTAGCATTTTTTTCATTTGCAAAGAATAAGTCTGGCTTCCAAAGACACTTGAACATAGTCGGGTCCACTGTCAGTGTATCTGAGCCTCTCCAGTCATTGGGCAGTTTGAGTCTGGGGTCATTCCACTTCTGTCTTAGAAAGATGTTGACTCTGTAATCCTGATGGGAAGAATAAATAAATATTAGACTAGCCAAAATTCTAGAAAAAAACCCACAGAGAAAGAATACCATTCTATCAGAAAAACAATTTATGCTCTGATTTTTTCTATCACAAAGACAGTAATCACTATTCAAATGATATTAATAAGTGTTACATTTAATAGACTTCACTACAAATAGGTAGATTATGTCTCACTCATGCTCTGAATATAGCAACTTTCTTTAAGTACAGGACCAAATTGGTCCCCCTGGAACAATTTTTGCATCCCCTCAATAGTGGCCACCTGTTACTTAGGCATAGAGAAGCATGCAGCAGGGAAGGGAGAGGCCATAGCTTGACTATACTAAATGGCTGCAGGCAGTAAGCACTGAATATCACTTCTATCAGGATATCCTGTGAGTGCCAATTCCAGTTTATTCTCCACTTGGTTAAGTATCGCACTGATGGCAAAATATCACACTATAAAAGCAGAAAAGAGACCAGGTAGATAGATTTTACACTACACACCCAGAATACAGCCTCAGACCTTCTAACAGTGATCTGGAGCTATTTTGGTAACAGGAAAACTGATGCCAGCTTGCAACATAAGTACTGAGGTAGCAGCTATGAAAGGAGAAACAGAATCAGTCTCGAAGAGAAAAAAATCAAGGCTTTACAGAGGAAACCTCCTTCTGGATTCAGCAGGACTCTTGCTGAAGGATGGACAGTAGTAGAGCCATGCTCAATGAGAACCTAATTTTGCTTTCGGGAATTGGAGTAGTATGTGTTTCAAGGCAAAATGATACCCTGCATGCGTTCTGTCTTTAGTGAAAGCTGTGTGAATCCAAAGGAAAAATATGACCCAGCATGTCAGTCATGATTTCAGTCTTATCTCTAAGTCTTCTTGCTTTTTACACTTACATTTAAGCCAGTGCCTCTTTTTTCAAGTATATGTAAACTAGGCAGATCACATATAGAAAAAGAATAAGGGTATTGTTGAAATAAAGTTAAAAACCCCAACCAAATAAACCAAAATTCTATATGTAAGATAAATTCTATCTCCAGTCTTCCTAGTTCTTTCTACAGTGTGCTTTGTTTTTGCATAATTGTCTATTACTTACAAAGCCTCCTTCAGTAGTGAAAATACTGTTACTGCTGTACAATTATAGTGAAATGATAGAATCTGTGAGTGAAGGTTCTCAAAGTATTTTTGGTTTGTGAAAGTATTCTGCATACAAACTAATTTTATGAAGTTGTTTATTTTACACGTTAATGCCCTATTATACTTTTTTTTTGTTGCTGTTGATACAACATGAAGTATTCTGTTGCATTTACTGCATTTACATTCCAAAGCAGGTGCCATGTCGAGACTGTCATGCTTCAACAGGAAGGAGTTCACTTGGCTAAGACCTCATGCAGAATAATTTAGCCTGTTGATTTAAGCTGTAAATTGAAATACAGTGCTCATTTTTCCATGTCCAGTCCACCAGTCAAATCAGCCCAAACATTTCCTTATTACACTATACTGTGTAATAATCTTCCTTACTGCATTGTAAGAAAAAGCAGGACATCAAAACCACGTACTTGTTACTTGTTGGTAGTCTCTTTTGGAAAAAATACACATAGTCTGACTGTTATTTATACAAAGACCTATATTATCTTTCCAAAGCAAAGAAGAAACAAAAAATAATAGTTAATATGAAGTGACTGTGTATTGGAAGGTTCTCACAGAGAAGCTTTAGAACCAGAGGGAATTCAGGTCATTGTCTCAGAAAGCATCTTTTCAATTATATGTATATAATTGAAAATTTACTTTACTTGCTTCTTGCTGAAGTTCCTATTCCATATGCACTTCTTGTCTCAGTGAAAAAAATTACTCTAAATCATATAAGAGAAATATTGCATATCATTCATGCTCACAAGCATTACACTGTTTGTTGCACAAAAGTCAACTTCCCCATAAACAAGTGCATTACCCTAATTTTAACAAAATAAGACGCCTTCTTAAAGCCATAGGCAAATGACAAGCAGTGCCCAACACTTGCCTTCAGCTTACCCATTCAGTAGGAGTTGTTTACATCACTGAAAAGCAGAATGCACTGGCAAAATAAGAATTGGAAGTAAGATCAGGCAGATAGTAGTTTATTTCCTTTCTTGCTCTATTACAAAGATAGTAGTTTATTTCCTTTCTTGCTCTATTACAAACGACTTTAAATAGACCAAACAATGGGATGTTGTGACATTTCAAGAACTTGATTCTGTTCCCATTTAACTCAATGGAAGAAAAATCCCATTAATCTAAAATAGGTAGCTTCACCCCTCGTGAGAGGGGTACTTGGAGAGGAAGGCCACCACATACTCGAGGTAATACAGAAAATGTAGAAGGAAGCAAAGAGATGTCACAGTAAAAAACTGTGGCTAACCAGACAACAATGTGCAGAAGGGCTGCTTCTTATAAGAATATGAACTACTACAGCATCTGGCAGCAGTGTAGACTACTATCTGGTATACATCCGTTTTGAAAGAAGTCTGCAACCAGTTGTCTCAAATTTGCACCACGGACTTTAAGATTCAGTAAATGCACTATGATTAGATTCAACAGGGGCTTGAAGAAGCAGTCTGTATGAAGCAACTGGTCTTCCTGCTGTATATTGTACAAACATTTTTTGAATATTGCAGTGTGGTTGGCATTTTATAATAAAGGAGAGCAAAATAGGAACTAAAAAGCCTGAAACTAGGAGCAGAGGGTGGAAGAGATATTCATCGGCATTAGAGCTGGGAGACCTGTCAGGTAGAAAGAAACACAGAAGTATTCTACAGGGCTTTGTTTTCCCATGTAACTCCAACAGAAGGCAAATTGTTTTCAGGAAGGTTGAAAGGGGAGGCATTCTAGGAAATATTTCAAATGCAGCCTACTAAATAGTGGGCATGTGGCCAGAAAACCTCCTCAGGCCAGAAATCACGCATTGCCTATACATCTCTGCAAAATGGAGCACACAGCAGATCATGAAAGACTTTCTACATAAACTGCAGTCACACAAAGAAAGGAAGAATAATAGTGCTTTTTCTTGATAAAGTATATTTTTTTGATAAAGCAGCAAATTTCATTTTTAAGATTAAAATAAGGAAACTGAATTTTTGTTTACATACATAAATATTAAAAAGACCTTTCTGCAAGGTTTTAAAGTAAAGGAGAAGGAAGAAGTGGTGTTTTGTCATTTGAGTCAGTGAAGAAAGGTCACACTGCAAGTAAAAACCTTGAATATAGATTCTGTAGACAGTCAGATCACCATCACAGCTAAAATATTATAGTCCTGTCGGTATTTATCCCAGAAAGTCTCTATCCCTAAGAATCCTTGACTGGTCATCCAGTTTAAAATAGTTTCTAAATGTGACATAACCACCATATTATCCCACAAATCTGCATTATCAAAAAATGTGCAAAATCAGAAGCAGAGTTAGCATGGGGATCCTAGACAAGTGGTCTAATGATTTAGAAGGAAACAAATTACAGGATTCAAGATAAAGGGAGCTTACTGGTAGGTAGCTCTGGCATAAGCTTTTTTTATAAGGTTAATTAACTAACCTTTTTGTTTAGTTTTTTCCAGGTAACTTGCCTCCTAACTGTGTGGAAACATTGCAATTCTTTTGAGTATTCAACAACACTACTCTTTCTAGACACAGAACAAACATTTGCCCTTCATATTCTTCACAAGGTCTTGATTAAAGCAATACAGGCTTCTGGGCACAGGATCCACAGTAGGGGTACTATCTTGCTTTAAACCAATACATCTTCAAATATGTTGATGCTTTTCTACAAACTCCCTTCTCTCTTAAAACTAAGCAGACTTTACCTTCATAGGAGGTAACCTCTTCTCTTTTTTGTTGAGGATGAGCCAACTGCATAGCTAAGAATGCAATTATCATGTGACCAGAAGGACAGCAAACAAGACCTTTTCTCACTGGCACTCTACATGTTTGTTGGGCCTTCTACCACCACCTCAGTTCTGGTCATCTGGCACCCATGGTTATTTTTCCCCACACTTCCATCACCCAAAAGAAGGAATCACTGCTTTGGCATGGCTATAGCAGGATGCTTTAAATCCACACAGATTTTGCAAAAACTTATTAATTCTATTATTGGCACTAGAAGTGGCTACAGAGCCAAGAATCATCACAATATACTTGATTGACTGAAATACTTAGAAATTTCACAGATTTTTTGTATCAGTAATGATATCACTCCAACCACTTTAGTAGCTTCTGTTAATTTTAGAGACAGTCAAGAAATCAACATTCCTCATTATTCTCACCAAACCTGGAGACAGCCACTCTCTTCTCCAACACTGAGGAATTTTTTCAGCGGTTCTGGTACTTCTGCAAATGCCTCCTTTTCTCAAGGCAAGAGGCCCCCCCCTGTCCTTCACAGACTCGGTGCCTCAGCTCCAGGAAATACTTTTCCTATGATTCTGAAGTTACAAGTCTTTTCCTAGTCTAAGGGACCCACTTCTACTGTCTGGTGCATTACCCAGACCACCTGAAGACAAGTACCAACCTATCCCCAAAGAGAGCAGTGGTTCCTGACTGTCCACAGGACCCAATTCCCACTGCAGCAGGAAGAGTTTTCCAAGTGATACACGGAAGAATAGATTGACCATTTATTTTGTCAGTGCTTCCTGTGAAATATTAAGGCCATCAAGACGTAATCCAAATTTCACATAAACATGCTTAGCTATCATGGTGATCTCAGCTGGAGATCGAAATCTAAATAAAAGCATAAATTACAATAAGGATGGTGTCTGAAGTTCTGAAATATGGAGGAGAGTATGACTTATTTTACAGAATATCCTCGCAAATTTGTGAGTGATCCTATCAGGGAGTCACAGGCAGGCATACATACACTGCTGGACAGAGCATACTTAATTTTTTTTTTTTTGGAGGGGGTAAGAGGAAGCACATCCCTTACATTCATGTTTTGTTACTATTTGAATCTGGGTGAATTGTAAAACAGCCTCTGTAAAAGTCACTTTCTAAAGCATGCAATAAATTTCAGAAACTTGAAAGTGCCATCTGGCCTAATATACTTGACATCTTAGACACTTATCTCACTGCTACTTTCCTGCTCTTCCTCCCTGCCCCTCTTTAAACTTGAGTCCTCCTTTTGTTTTCAGAAATAAATCTCAGGGCATCTTCAGCAAACTGAATTTTTTTGTTTTCATATCACTTCCCTGTAATGCCATTAGTTGACTTACAATCCTTTGCAATCAAATTTAAATCTTTATTCACTGCTAGCTAAAGAAAGAGAAATTTCTGGTCAAGCTATTCAAAATCTGTTTCAGCTACAATGTATGTACAACTTTGAGCAGCTCTGTAGTCCTACTGAAATGTTATTAAGGTAACATGTAAGCTGGTTCTGAATTTTAAATGGGCACTTACTTCCAAAAACAACAAAATGCGTTTTAATGTTTAATAATGGTATTATGGTTTATTGCTTCTCTGCCATTATGAGTCAGAATGTCCTGGTGTACTTTTTTGGATAATACACCAAGCAGCTTATATACTAACTCTTAGGAAGATTATTTAATTCATACTACCAATTGGTTTCTTCCATTGAACTTAATAACTTATGGAAATAAGTGTATCTCTTGCATCTCAGAAACTATGGATTTCCTTTCGTGTAAATCAGATTCTAAAGCTACAATAATCTGTGGACACATATAAAATAGAATAGATGAATAGCTTTACAGCATAAAGCACCGTCAGTCAATCACTAACCCCATTAACTTAATTCTCAGTGCCTACAACCGCAACAGTTATTTCTACTTTATAGTTCATAATCCTCAACTTGAAATTTAATAAGAAAATCTCCATGCATGCTATAATAATTTCATTTCAGTCTTACCATAGTTGTCTCTTGAATTGACCCAAAGCTGTTAATGAAGATGTTAACTGCAACATCAACTGGAATTCCTTTAAAAAAAAAAAATACTTGTGAGCTGTACAATCCAGTAAAAGTATGTTATCCTTCAATTAAAGCTCCTTTATACTGGTATCACAATGTAAAATGTTTTTTATAGGGTCATACAACTTCATCTTTTCAAGTTAGTATATACAAAGATTTCAAAACCAAGGGTAATCACAAAACCTCTTTTTAACCTAGTGATAAGAAAACAGAAAAAAAAAAATCCTTAGTCTAGAGAGCTAATCTTAAAGAATTTCACAGACCATATATCTAAATGAATAATTTTTGAATTCTATGATTTTCCGTTATCACAGAATGCATAAGCCAGTATTACTTTTGCACACAGTGTAATGGATAGAGGCAATTCACATTTCTAGCAGCAGACACTTTTAATTGTCAAGGTCATAATGATGATCTATCATCCCAAATTACCTGTTTATGATTTATGATGAAACATTTATTCATATTTCAAGAGGATACCTCTCTGTGCAAGTCAAGTACATAACAGTAAAGTACGAGTACAGGCAGGTAAAAATTATTGCATGCAGCTTTCACAGCTGTCTAGTCTTGATGCGAGAGAGTTGGAAAGCTGCTCCATTTCACAATGGTTACCAATTTGCCAAGAAAAATTTCTAGAAGCCAGCAGCTGTGAAGATATTAAGATAGCCTGGATTTTCTTCTCTTTTCCACAGCCAGGACTCCTGTAGCTGAAGAAGGATGGTGTGACAGCTGCTATATCTGCCCTCTGTCACCCTGGACGAACTGATTGGCAGTCATTTAATATGGTGTTAACAGAGAGTTATCACCAAGCAAGGAGAACTGGCCTGACAGTTGTGAGAACTAATTGTGGCCCACTAGTTTTATATATTATCTATGTTGTGAGTGTCAGTATGTCCATTAGATCTGATCTCATTTACACTGTTACAAATACTTAATTCAGTGGGTTTCTTCCTTCTTTCAGCAACAAAAGATAAACAAGAATATATGAAGACTGCTTTGACAGAGTAAGCAGATACAGTGCAAAGTAATATATGACTCTTTCAATAGCTTGCTTGTCTGCATAAAATATTTTGGTGTACATTTAATATATAAATTCAAACTCATTCTTGTGGTTCACCAGAAATGTACAAAGATAAAATTTCACTTTTTTCAGTTAAACCAGTTTGTGGGGTTTTTGTTGTTTTGTTTTTTTTTTTTTTTTAATCAGACTGCTTGAATATTCTGCTTTTGGTTATGCAATAAGCATAATAATTTTTTTAATGCCTGATGCGTGTGACAGAGTACCCATCACATCACTAGTAGCCAAGAGTGTACTCCCTCTTCCAGATTTGAATAGAAAGTGCCATCCAAGAAAATCACTCATGCGTGAGGAACATTTTAACATGGGCAAACCACTTGTCAGAAAATGTTCTTTTTCTTCCACCTCCCTGTGAGTTAACATTACATGTCCTCCTTTTTCCTTCTGCCTGGATTCTTACCAGGCTGCCAGCAGGGTTATCAAAAATATAAAGAAATCTGCAATATGCTTTGCAATTACAAGTTGATTATGCTGAAGAACAGGTAGAGAAGAGGCTGGGTGTTTATTCTTTGTGACAAGGCTCAGTACAGAAAACATATAAATATGGTTCTGCAATAAGAATAAGAAAGAAGCAGTATACTTGCTGAGAACTGAGTTTAAGACGATAATAAAAGAGATAAACAGAACATCTGAAAATAGTCTCTTCAAAGGCACAATAAAGATTTCCAAATTTTTCATACTAGTAATATGCATATTAAAATACCTCTTAGTGCGCATATAATTATATGTGAGTTTTAAAATGAAAGAACTGATTTATGCAAACTGCATAGTCTGTATTTAATAAAATTGTATGTAATAAAATGTATTTTTTCAGAAGGGAAATAATTCCTGGAAAGTGTAACTTACAGCTCTACGAGTTATCAGAGGTTTTGCAGAGACTATGTATTCCAACCTTTTCTGCATATGTAATGAAGTCACACTTGCCTACATGGAAGAATCCTACTGATGACCAGAGAGATGTTTTAAAGGCAGAGAATATGTTTAAATGCATTACTAAAGTGCATAAGCTTTATAACTAAAACATCTTTAACAGATTTAATAACTATAGTGTTGATCTCAACTTTTTATAGTTATCTTAAAGGATGTCAATAGAGAAATTTGATGTTTTAAAATTCTGTAAAGTACAGATACTACAAAAAGTCTAACTAAAATATAAGCATAAAAAGGATATTTTTAAAACTTATTCTGTAAAATCTACTCCTACTTTTAAAAAGTCTCTTATAAAAGTAATAATAATAAAGCATTCCATACTATTACGATAATACCTAACATGGTATCTTTCAGCTCAAAAGAGTAAATATCTTCTGCAGTTTTATATTATCTAGGGAAATTTTCATTCAAAATAAACCAAACCAGAACTTTAGGTTGTAAATATTATCTCTTCCTAAATTTTCTATGTATGAAAAGAGCCAAAGTTAAATTCCAAAGATTAAAGCAAAGGCTGAAATATCTGACAAACCTTTGAAATTAGGCCTTATCCTGGGATCATAGCTGAGCAATAGCCTATTCAAGATATTGCTGGTTGAATTAGCAGGTACTCTTGCAAGGTCTTCAGCTGATTGTTGCCTGTAAAAAAAAAGTTCATTAGTTACTATCAAGACAGAAACGACTGTGTGCTTAAACTGAAGTAATTTTAAAGCAATGTCATAAATGCCATTTCATAAGCAAAATAAGTTCATTATTTTCAGGTTCCACATTGTATAGTCTTCCTTTCCTTGAGATGTTTTAGTATTTTTCAAGAAACTGTAAAAAACACAAATTCTCTCCTATGTACTCTTAACTATAATCTTGGAAGCAAATAAACTGCAATTCACAAATTGTTCCCTTGCCTCCTAACATAAATATCCAGCAGGATTTCTTCATCAGTAGAAAGCAGTCACCTGAACTATTTTTAGTGACTGTCAAATTAGGAACTTCAGTAAATTGACAGCCACTTTGTAGGTGCCAAACCATGCAGAGGCTTTTGGCAGTCTCCTGCTCTCACATGCCAGTGCCAGCTATTCCACCCAGAGCTGGAGGATTGCATAACCTCATTGTCAAGTGCTAATAAAAGCTTTATTAAACATAGAAAAACAAGGCCTTGGACTCTCCTCTGCTTTTGCAGGGGGAATTTAAACATCTTCAATTACCTTGCTAATATTGTGCTGAGTGTTAAATTAAAACCATTGCTACAATTAAAAAGAACCTGTGACAGGTAAATGTAGCTACAAGAGTATATGAAATTGAGTGCAATAAAAAGCAATATGAGTTCATCAGTCCCCACCCCAGGTATTTTAAACACCTAGCACTTTACCCTGTTTAATTTCTTTTTTTTCCTTTATTCTCTCTCATACCAATGTCAGCTTGACAGATCTACAAGTTATTCTTTGAAAAATCTTAGTTCACTGCTTTTTCTTCTCATCCTTCAGTTTCCTTCATGTCCTCTGGAATTTCTGTCTTATTTAAATATTTATTGAAGAAATATTAATTCTTCAAAAGGCTTTTGGCCAGTTTAAAAAAAAAAAAGTTGCATGAATATATTAGAATTCCTGATTTTAAGATGTCCAACTATAGCAGCCCCTGTTCAGCATCTTTCTTATGGACTACCAGGAAACTAATTAATTAATTAATAAATAATGGTCAGCATTGCATGATTGCTCTAACTGCCACACACTATTTGATTGAAAAGTGGAGATGAGACCAGATCCTAGCCCTTGAAAAGCTTTTATGAATAACATCGCCTTTAAAAACAACTAGTTAGACCACACGGGAAACAGGAGGAAATGAATAAGATCTGCTGACTGGGTAGCACTCGCTATGCCTTCCCAATGAGATTGAATCTCCTCATTTAACAGCTCAAACATTTACAAACAAAACTGTGAAGGAGTTCCCTATTATTAAAAACATGTTAATCATTTATGATAACGTAACTGTATTTATTATAGTCTCAGTGATACCCTTTGAGCATTTTATCCTTCAGGAAAAAAAAGATCTGATTTCTGTTTTCTCTGTTGCATTCAGGAAATTTCTGAAACTCAAAGCTGCATATCTATTTACCTATTTTCTTGCATTTGCTTGATGTAATAAATAAGGAAAAACTTATGGCAGCAAATAACCACTCGACCCTCCTTGAAATTTTGCGCTACTCATCAGTAATTAGCAGGATAAGTATGCATTCTCAGGACTACCCAGAGATAGTCGAACAGGGAGTTTGCATCCATGACAATAGCACAAACTAACATACAGGAAGAAAAAAGAACTGAGGAGCAGCATTAAGTGGCTGCAGTATATAATTCCCCACCCATTTTCACACTAAACACAATAAAACCTCTGTGACGTGTAACGACGACATAGGTGAAATAATTATTCCAGCAGAACTTATCCAGAGATAAATGGTCTTCTAATAAAATAAGGAAATTTTTACTTTCAGCAACATGTGTTAACTTCCACTAGTATGTTCTGTGTACAATAAACCTCTGCTAATTTAATGTAACAGAAATTAAAAAGCAATATGTGTTCTAACTCTTCTGAATAATTGATAAATTCACCTTCAAACAATTCTCACAGAGTTGAGTTTATAGGTTTTTATATTTGACTTCAAAGTGGATTATTATGCAAAAGAACTAATTTATTTCCTTATTTGGTCAGGCAGTTGGACTAGATGATCATTGTAAGTAACTTCCAGCTGAAGTACTCTATTCTATTCTATGCTATGCTATTCTATTTCTTCAGTTTTGAGATTTGTGTTCAGTTTTCAGTGACGATCTCTACCAATGAGAAGGCTGCTACATAAATATCATAAACCAGCTTTGTATGCATTTTTTGCAGTTACCACTAATTGGACAACAGAAAAACAAAAAAGTTAAGATTATTTTCCATTTTGTAGCAGGAACAATTCAGAAAAGAATGCTCACTTATCTATTAAAAAGACACTGTACACTATTTTATCTGATACAGAAAGGTTCATGGCACTGCTTTCTTGCAAGTCACATGTATTAACATCTAAAACATCTATATCAGATGTCTTCAAAAACTTATAAAAGAAGAATGTCCTTAATACAGACAACAGGATTTCTTTCTAAATTATATATGTTCAATATAACAAAATATCAAAACAAAACAAAGCAACAACTAGTGATCAAACTTAAATTCCTTTTTTTAAAAATTTCTGCTAGGGGTTATATAAAGAAGTTCATTAAATAGTGAGAACAGTAATCTGAACCAGATAGGATAGCATGGACACATAAATGAAATACAGATGCTCATAAAATGCAATGAGGAAAAGAGGAAAAAAGTCTCAGAAATTAAACGAGTGAGCAACAAACAGCAAAAGAAAGCCAAATAAACTAACAGGTTTATTTGTCTCTTCAAGTAAGAGGAGCAAAGCAATAGCTTTTTGAGATCTGAATTGCACTGCAGAAGTATTTAAATATGAATATCTGTTCAAGCTGTTTGTTCAAAAGCCATCCATGAACGGGGCAAAGGAGATTTATAGCACTGGAAAGTCAGCAATGGGAAGAAGGGTGGCAGCACAGCTTTCTGGTAAGGAGCACCACAATCACATCTTCCTCAAGTTGTTGGGTTGTGTTTTGGACTTACAGAAGTGTATTAGTGCATTTATCCTTGTTTATCTAAGAACCAAGTGAAATACAATGGCACTGGCTGTTTTGAGCTAGGAGAAGGAGCACAGGGATTCAGTAATTGCTACTTTTAAAGGTCACTTTGAATGAAGTGGTTGAAATATCTACTGGGGAAAAAAAGCTCTGCTGAGTATCAGTCATATTTTCACTGAGGTCTTTTACAGCATGCTGTCATTGAACTCCCATCACTCATCAGCACACATGCAATGCAACATCATCACAACAACTGGATTTCCTTCTGAGAGCCTTGCTGACCAAAACACCAAAATTTCACCTGCAAATAAACACATCATACGTGTTCCTTGTGATGAGTTAAGAAGTTATAACACTTTCAGAGTGACAGATGAGCAGAAAAACTTAATGGAACAGTAAATGGGATGTGCTAGGTGCTTGGATAAAGCAGCTGGGACTATGAAGGTATTTATCTAAAGCTACAACCACCCCTGCTTAATTGGTCATTCTGGAATGAATTAATGATATAAGGCATATCTGTAGACTACATAAGAGTAAAAGGATTTGAGCTGAGATCTGCCTTCCTAGAAGAGCATTACTTCAGTGTGCTGAAGGCTGTCTGGGTCCCATGCAACAAGACTCACACTAGCTGAGAAGTTCCCTACCACTTTTTCTAATTCAACCTACAGTTTTCCCACTTGTAAAATGCTGGTAACTTAGATTTCCACCAGTTGCAGCACGCATTAAAATTTTAATGCATTTACTTTAACTTGTGTTGAACATGAGAAGCTGATGGAAAGCACTAAGAAATGGAAATGTAGCACTCTTCACAGTAATCGATGAGTCCTAAGCAATATACGGTGAATACCAAAGGATAAGGCAACAGAAGTCTCACAGTTGCTATAAAGGGAATTTAAAAGCAAGTAAATGTAAAGATAGAAATTGCTTTAACAAAAATCTTACCTAAGTAACAATTAAAAAAATCCAAACAACCAACACACAAAACACCCAAACCCAAGTAGGATTTTTCTTTTTCTGAATCAAAAAAAGGAAAACAAGTGGTATTCTTGTATACTCAAAAGTATTCTCACTTCTGCAAACAGTGTCGTCAAAAGCCAGAAAGAAAACACAGTATGGTTAGTCTTCTGGCATAACATCTCCATGTGATATGACTGGCTACTCTCTGGGCTTTGGGAGTTTACTTCTGGTGTCACTGATGAATAAAAGAATTACTTAAAATACTGTATTTCATGGGATATGAAGTAAGGTGTCCATCTCCTCTTCCACTGCAGCTTGACACATTTTGTCACTGCCTTTGAAGAATATGATCAACATTTTGAATTGATGGCAACAGATAGTTATTTTCATAATTCACTAATCAAAATCCGGAATTTTAGATAAGCAGACATGCATGACAAAATGAAGCATATATTACACTTAGTTTGAAATTTATATAGTTTCTTACATTTGTGTTAGGCAAATGTGTCAGAAGACATTATATCTGTATAGGTCATCATGACATTTAGTCTCTCAGAGCTCACTGAAGTTACAAGAGTCCTTACCACATGCAGTTCTACAGACTGCAGAAAGGAATATAAACAATATTCTATACAAAGTGGGAAGGAAAACCTTTGCATAGTTCTAGATTACTGTCTGACAGATAAAAATATGTATTCCAACTCACACTGTGATCTCCAGCAAAATTTCCTATATGATACTGAAACAAGAGATTGCAGTGCAGTTTATTTAATCTACATGATGGAAACTGACATTTTAATCATATAACATGGCTGTGTACATCCGAGTAAGGTAAAAATAAGTTTGGGGAAACATAATACCTATTATCTCACCATATATTTCAAGTACAATTTCCTGATACAAACTATCAGTGTTCTGATTTGCAGGTATTTTATTTTCTGAGTGCAATAACTCAAAGCATAACAACAGGTTAATACAAATCAATGACATACTATATAATTCTTCTGACTGAACTCT